TCTTGGAGAATTCCGAGTATTAGAGATTTGAATTCCCTATCAGGTAGTTCTAGTGCATTTTCTTCCACAAGAGAGTCATCTGGTGTTTTATTTTGGATGCCTACTAGAACCTTCCTGTCCTGTTTTTGTAAATGTTTTGATATTGTCTGCTGTTTTCGGGGATTTCAGTAGTTATCGTTCTCGTTTATTGATTGTAGATTTGTTTGTTTCATCCCTTTTTTTAAAAAAAATTTGACTATGTCTGAGCAGGCGGACTGTCTGTTCTTTGTTGTTTGCTTGTCTGTGCGCTCGATACTTTTCGCCTCCTTCTCCAACTGGCAGGGTCAGTCACTCAGATATGGTACATCAGGGCAGGTCTAGCTGAAGAGGAGCCACTGGGCGGGTTGTCCGTGGCACTTACTGCAGCCACCAGGACAGTTCGGTAATCAGTGCAGGGCAGGTTCCAGTAGGCCGTGCCTGTGCTGCTTGGTGGTGTGATGTCAAGCACACGGTGCAGGTAGGCAGGATGTAGTGGGGAGATTGTTATGTGTGGAGCTAAGATGGATATGGGAGAGAGGAGAGAGGAACGGGGCCAAAAACAAACAAACAAACAAAAAAGAATGCTAGGGGAGCTTGCCCTTGGAATGGAGAGATGAGAGACGGTTGTTTTGTCTCCCGCTGGACGCTCCATGAGGCTGCTTTCTTGTACCCCCGTTTGCTGGTCTCCGATAGGAGTCCAAGATAGTGGATCTGCACTGCGTTAGCTGGTAGGGGACCTCTGCATGAATCTCTCCTCGCTCTCCATTCTCTGTCAGTTTTCTCACTCCATTTGGTGCTTGGCTGAGTTCTTTATCACTTCATTTGATGTTTTACGGTTTCAGGATTGTTGTATTCTCTGTTTGGCTTAGTTTTTCGGATCTTTGCTGTGGAGGGACGGCGTGGTGCTTCTGCCTAGAGTGCCATTTTGCCCACGTCTCCAATATTTTTCTTTTAAAACTTTTTTATTATGGAAACTTTCAATATACATTACAGTAAAGAGAATAATATAATAAACTCCCACATAGCCAACTAGATTTCACAAATATATATTTTTATAAAGACTAGTAATTAATTTCTCATTAAAAGTAGAATAAAGGGTTTTTATATTCATTGCCCTAGAAGTGCCTAATCAATCCTTGGGTGTTAGAGTACCTGGGCCAAGTTTTCAGAATTCATGTGATCTGTAAGCAGAGACTATCTCAGCTCTAGACTCTGTGGATGTGAATTTTAGAAACTGAGGTGCTGGCATATCTGAATTGGGTGATTTCAGACCTAAATTAAAACTCTGTTTGAGATTAAACTAAAATTTTCATCTCTACTCTTCTAAAGAAACCAGCTTTTTGTCAATGTGTTACTGCTTGAAAAACAAAGGAGGCAGACTGCAGCTGTAAAAGTCTTGACTGTAACACAAAGAATGCAGAGATTTGGGCTTTAACTTATGTAAACAAACTTACTATCTTAACTGTTTTCAGGGAATTCACTGTCAATGCCTGGGCCCTAACTCACTCCTTCTTAGCCTGATGAATAATGTTTACATTTCAAAAGACTTCAGATTTAGAGCTAATTTAATCTTCACTCATTCCTAACTAATGGTTGACTTTACATTCCAAGGATTCCAATTAGGTTTGACTCAGCCTGCAATCCATCACTAAACCCCACATC